GAGGTGTCAGCCTATGGGAGGTGTCTGTTAGTGGAGGTGCGACTGTACACTCTTCATTGGATAGTGATTTATCTACCCTTTGAGCTACCGCGCACAGCATTTTGTCAGGTTACCCCCGGCCAACAATTTGCAAATTCCCATTTATATTCTTGGGTGGTGAGAGACACTGTGAGAGTAATACTAGTAATACATGACTTGCAGGTCCTCGTGAAGCTCAGGGGAGTGACATTTTTGGAGGGTGGGGGGGAGGGCGATAAAGGGTTAAATAAGAATTTGGCTGGGGTGGATTGCTTGAAGATGGACTTAAATCATTTTAAGGTAATTCCATCGAAATAGAAGTTACACTGGGAAGTTTCTGAAACTTTCCCTAGTTGAACATTGTGATGTAATGTTTCAAAATATAGAATAAAAAGAATAGGTCACCAGCCCCGCGAAAGAGATATAATCGACTAAAAATACCTCCTAATTCCTTACAAAATCAACCAAAAACATGTATTATTTTCATGTTTTCAGTGACTATTAATTTTTCTGCACTGAGAATTTGTCTATACTCCTTGTATAGAAAGAAGATGATTACTAGACTTAAATATGCGAAAAAAAATGATAGGTCACCGCTCGTTTACGAGAAAACGATCATTTACCTCTCTGGCGAGCATAGCCGTAATGAAAAAGCCGCCATGTTTTTAATGTGCGCGCGCTAATTACGCGCAAAATTATGCGCAGAAAGGATGCGCAGTGCAATACTAAGGAATGACCTTAAGTCCATCTTCAAGCCACCCCAGCCAAATTATTCAAATATTCAATTGTCCTGAATAGGGAGGATGAGATATTGTTTTAGAGACAATTTTATTGTGGGCACGAAGGGTTATAAATAAGAATTTTGCAAGAATGGATTACTTGGCTTGAATAGGGGCGAAGAAAGTGTTGAAAAAATTGGAAGAGATTGTTTGGAGGGGGATACCATTGGATAGGTAGTGGATTGTGGATATGGAGGGGGGTTGTTACAATGAGTCAAAATCTCTGTCTAACAATGTATCAGGCATTTTGTCACATTACCCCAACAATTTGCAGATTCCCATTTATATTCCTGGGTGGAGAGAGACACTGTGAGAGTAATATTATAATATAAAGTGTCTTTGCCCAAGAACACAACACAATGGCCTGGCCACAAAATCCGACAAGGCTCAAGGCCTACTCAGGGGTGGTGAATGGTAAATAATTTGAGACTTTGCGAGATGGCGAGACTAGCGTTTTTCTCGGCGAGACCGAGACTTTTTGAGTTTTTAGATTGTGACACCAAGATCGAGACTCCAAAACGGCTTTGCAGAAAATCGAGACTGCGAGACATACAGAACAGCTCAGAAAACGAGACTGCGAGACCCATGAAACTTGACTAAAATTTGCGAGACCCATATTTTTTTTAAAGACCATTTCACCACCCCTCTACTTATTGAAGTAAGCTTTCCATTCACTAACCTGAACATGTAGTCCTCTGTGTGTCTTCTTCCATCATCACCTTCATTGATTATTTGTTGGTTTACGAGTCTGGCCATTACTCTGAACGATGCCTTAAGGTGCATATAAATAGTCTGAAGATAAAGGAAAAAAAAAACACATCAACATGTGATTTGTTACTAAAGTGTTCCAGTGGCGGATCCAGGGGGAGGGTCGGGGGATCCGGACCCCCTATCAGACCCGAACGTTTTTTTGCTTTCACCCATTATTCATAGCAAAACCATCTCCAGGATCCACGAATCCCCCCCCCCCCCCCCCCCCCCCATGCCAACCCCGCTACACCATGTGTAATAATCACTGCCGCCTACTTCCAAAAATTCTCCTACTTCACATTTTGGGGAAAACCCTGGGACCCCCCTTATCAAAAATTCCTGGATCCATCCCTGCGTTCTGACTTCTTCATACTAGAAAGTACAGTCGAACCTGTATTATTTTTAAGCGGGCCACCCTCAGGAATTTGGAAATTGGCCGTTTAATACAGGTTCATCAAAAAATACTTTGTGGGCGTGGTCGAATGTCGTTATTAGTTAAATGGCTACAGAAGAAGCTAGCTAAAGAAGGATTTCAAGTCAAGCAGTAATTCGAAAGGAACAAATACTCTTTCTTGTCATGTTATACTACAATACATTGGCATCCAGAAAGCATTGATGAAATCAGTGAAGTACATGCAGTAATGAAACAATAACAACTCTGTAGTGCATGGTGCTGTAGTGTTGATAGATCCTTTTTCAAGCGAAATAAAATCGTAAAATGTGGTTTTAGGTTTCTATTCAAGCTTAAGTGTGGCCGCTTAATACAGGTAAAAATAACAGACAGACAAACATGGGACTGCTAAAGGGTGGCTGCGACTGTTTAATAGAGGTGACCGTTTAATACAGGTAGCAAATACAAAGTTTGTATGGGCGAAAATTCGGGACTATGAAAACTGGCTACTTAATAGAGGGTGGCCGCTTAATACAGGGGCCGTTACATATATTATACAGGTTCGACTGTAATCTGTTCTTTATTCAGGAAAGTCCCGTGTTCGGTATAACTTCATAAAGATACCCGACGAGTTTGCAAAATTATTATTATTAACCAATCAGAAGAGTGCATGGAATACACAAGCATACTGAAACTGTCATGTCCACTTAGCAACTTCAATGGCAAAACCAGCAGGTTCATTAAATTCTTGAAGATGGGATTCCGGACTGTTTACAGTGTTAGACGTCTTATCAGGACACCTAACGACAAGGAATATTTTTGTAGTTATCATTTACCTTCGACCACAAGCTTTCTTCTAGCAGAGCACCAGCATAGTTATAAGCTTGTACCCAGTCCCCCTTGCACCTGTAGACATAAGCATAAAATTAGACTTATGTTGTGTTTGAGGAATGAAAAGTCTCCTCTACCAGATTGGCTAGGCTTTTTAGGAGAAAATCTTCTTGTTCGGTCACACTTTAATATATATTTTATGAAACTTTTCCGACATCAATGAAAAAAGAACAAGGAACAGTTGGAAAGCTTATATCCGTGGAGTGGGTGGGGGCTTATAACTAGAATATTACTTTGTTAGTGGGCAGATGGCAGGCCTATACAATCGTTTTGGCAAATCTTTGTTGAAGCACTCAAAGAGTTCCCGATTGTTATTATCCAATCAAGAAACAGCGCACACAAGCAGTACTCATGGACTGAGTACTCTGAAAATTGTCACGCCAGCATAGAGCAATGAGGTTATGTCATCTTAGCAATGTCGGGATAAAAATCGCGGGCTCAGTGCCATCTCGGAGAAGGGATTTCGCCCCAAACTGTATAAGTTTTTTTGGGGGGGCTAAAAATTAACAGTGAGTTAATTGTGTACAAAGTACTTACGTATAGCACCACATTAGTTCCCAGTAGAATATGTGATGAAATTGTTTAATCTCTGACTGTATCGTGATAGAGTGCTTGTATCTACTGATGGCCTGTCAGACAAAACAGAAAACACAGTTCTATATTAAAGAACGCAGCAGCTCAAAATATTAATTCTCCTTACAGTGAAGATGACGCTACCGTTGCCACTCGACAAAGTTTTTGATTAATTTTTGACATCTTTTTGACAACTTTGATGGGTTCCATTTTGTGGCGCCACATTTGAGCTAGACTAGAAACTAAAACCATTCAAATTTCATGACTCCGCCTCCAACATTCGTTGGATTTTGATTGGTCAAGTCAAATGGAACCCATCCGAAAGTCGTCAAAAAGATGTCAAAAATTAATCAAAAAACTTTGTTGAGTGGCAACGGTAGCGCCATCTTCACTGTAATGATTCCCATAGATTCCATTTAATGTGAGTTATGAGAATTTGATGTTACATCAAGACAATATCATGTAGTTGATGGTTTTCTTTATTGGGAAAGTGTTGATATTTTAAGACAAAAATAATGTTGACCACTCTAGGAAATTTAATACAGCTAGTACAGACTTGACAGGCTATCACAGTGTTAAGTCATGGAAATATAGTTAAGCACAGGATCAGATGGCTCCGAATGCCCCAGGAAACACATACAGCTGTTTCGAGAAAGGTTGTCGGAAAAAAGCGCACAAGACAATCCCGAAAGGTAATCTGGGATATGATCAATGAATTTTAATAAGTCAAATAAATACATCAAGCCCGCGATGCCTACTTTTGTTGCTTTCTTTTATCACTCGCAAACATACGTCCATGGCGTCTCTTGTCATTTTCTCAGATTTCCCTGAAATGCTAAAGTCAAGGAACCGTGAACTTAAAACTACCCACAATACCTTTCGGGATTGTCGCGTGCGCTTTTTTCCGACAACCTTTCTCGAAACAGCAGTATACCACATAAAGCCCTAAGATGGACACCACTACGGAAAAGAAAGAGAGGGAGGCCAAAAAACAAATGGCAGACATTCAACTGTTGAAACTGAGCTGAAAGAGATGGGTCTTACATGGGGTGAAGCAGGGAAGGTAGTGAAAGACCGGGATATATGGCGTAGGATAGTTGCAGCCTTATGCTTCACTAGGGGGAAGAGGATGAATGAATACAGTACAGATTCAATACGCTTACAGCATTTATATTGAAGCCCAGGCCAAACAAGAACAAGAGTCGTCAAGAGCTGAAGGGTGAGAGTTTTCTTCAACTCTCATCGACTATCATCAAGCTTGGGCCGAACGAGAGAAAGCTCTCGATGACTCTCAAGAAAAAATTTGAGCAGGTTCAAATTCAGCAAGAGTGCAAAAGAGTCAACTAGAGTCGCCAAGAGCCCATGAGAGTTTCAGGCCACATGAGAACGAGAAAAATATGTATTTAGCACTAACCTCATCTAGTTTTCCTCGAACTTGCTTAATACGACCATCAAAAAAACAGCAATACAGATCCCTGTGAAAAAAATGCCAGCATTTTGTTAGGTTGTCCGAAATGTTCACTGGTATCCATTATTTTATTCTCCTGGGTGGAGAGAGGCACTGTGAGAGTTATGTGTCTTGCCCAAGAACACAACACAGTGACCGCAGGCAGCGCTTGAACCCAGACCATTCGATCCGGAGTCCAACACGCCAACCATTAGGCCACTGCAACTACCACTAATTCCAAATAAATGCCTGGAAAATTGAAACTGTGACTGCATGCATCACTCAAACTTGTACTTGTGTGACCTACAAGGTGAAAAAAAGATGTTGAAAATCCTGTAGAAATAATTAAAGTACCTTTGGAAATGACGTTAAAAGAGGCTGAAGAATTTCCTCAGAGTGATCGACATCGCCATTGCCATTTTCCTAAAAGAAAAAACATGATCCATGCTTTTAGACTGTTCACAGCTGCCTCTCTCTTTTCTTGCCGGTTCGCTCACACCCAACCCCCTCGTGCTCCACGCTCGCTTTATAGAGCGTCGAGAAAATAGAGAGGCTGTGAACAGTCTACCACACTTTATGACAGACACCGATGACTGTAACTAGCAAGTAAGATAACATTCATTCCTTAGTTATTAACTCCAGGATGATCCTACGGTCCTAGTTAGTAAAAAATATCTTTCTTTTTTTCCAATTTGTATAGATTTTATTATGGGTCTAAATAAAGAGATCTGGCATAGGAACAGTGCCTTAGCTTTTTGGGTGCTGTGTAGCACCCTGTATTTATTTTATTTAAATGCTTGTATAATTTTTAACTCACCAAGATATTGGGTTATCCAAGTATGGTAGCCAAGTAGAAGCATAGAACACATGGGTGACCTTAAATTCTGACCTCTACTCCCCTTGTGTAAATGGTTCAATCCTAGAAACTGTCGACATGGATGGAAAATAAAATTGGTTGAAAATCTGATCCCTGTACATACATTAGCTAATTTATAAAATAATATGTAAAAAAATAATCTGAGATTACACTTACAGTTATTTCAGGAACAACATCAATCAACAGTCAAAGAAACTTACAGGATAAATAGTACAGTCACATTTCATTTTGAGAAATATATTATTATTACTCAGTCTGTGACACAAGCTACTCAGAAAAATAATTCTGAGTTCGCCCAACATGAGTCGAACCTATGACCTTCGGCACACCGGTCAGACATTCAACCACTGAGCTACAGGAGACCTGTGGGAGTTACATGTACATGTAGGCTATGTAATGTTCATTTTGTGTTACAGCTTGTTGTTAGCATAACTGGTTCATAAAATTAGTCACAACCAATCTGAGAGCAAGGGTGTAACCTTGGCTTATGTCCTTTTCCCACAGTTGGCACCAGTCACAGGTTTTTGCTTCAAATTCTGATTGGTTTATAATGCTATGTGTGAGTTACACGATTGGCTCTTGTGATAATTAACATTTGGTTTAAACAGTTTTATCTCTCTGGTCCTCTGTAGAAGCTTCTTTGATATTCGCTTCAAGCACGCTTTCAAGATTGGGGAATCTCTCCCATTTATAAATGCTTGGGAGCCTCTGCAGAAGATCGAGAGGGAGCAGTTTTAACACAGAAAACAACTCTAAAAAAATTGAGGGAGATCATACATAAACATACAACATACAACACCATCACAGGCTGCCATGAAAGAAAACATAACATGCACAATATGGCATGTTGAACACGTTGAAGTAGAGTTGCGTAATATTACCCTGTCTCCTGAAAATCCAACCCACTCTAACAATTTGATTATCATTGGTGGAAGGAGAGATAACACCTGAAAAAAAAAAATAAGAAAAATAGCTAGTATTTAGTAACCCTTTCACTCCCAAGCGTGTTAAGTTCAAAACTGAGGAAAATATCTTGAATTTCATTTTGCAAAATTGTCAAAAACAAACAGCACCACTTGAAAGCACTGCTCAATAGCTTTCATTTGAATGGTCACACACTAGCCAAGGATTTAATTTAAAGACTCAAAAGTTACATCCACATTTAATAATTTATTTTATTGACTCAATTTTAAGGTTTGACTCTGGGAGTGACAGGGTTAAAGTAGAAATCATGACAGACCAAAATGAATGGGTAATACAGTGTATTTTTACCTGGTCAAGTAAATCAGTAACACTCAATATTGGAGGTGTGGTGGCCCAATGATATGGTTAGCGCGTTCGACTCTGTATCGAGTGGTTAGGGTTAGGGTTTGAGTGTTGTATTCTTGAGCAAGATACATGACTGTACTTAACTCTCACAGTGCCTCTCTCTGGACACCCAGGAGTATACATGGGTACCGGCGAAAAAATGATGGGGGGTAACCTGCGATGGACAAGTATCCCATCCAGGGAGAGTAGCAATACTCCTAGACGGCTTCATGCTACGGAAACCTGGATAAGCTTAGGCAGTGTGGGCCAGTCGTAGGCCAGGGTGCGGCTTTATGCACCAACATGAGACTACGATTTGTGGAATCTTTCATATAATAAGGCACTCACCAAGTTAAATCCACCAATTCCGAAATGAACACCTCCTTCAAAGTCTTTATCATGAGGAGACTGCAGCGAGGAACATGGTTCATCTGACACCATGTCAAGACAAGTCCTAGACAAGACAAAATTAATATTGAGAAAGAAAAAAGCAACCCCAGTCAAGTTCAATCTGAGAATTTAATTAAGAACCTTGTCTATTATGAAGGTATAATACACTCAATGATAGATTGAGATACTTTTTTTACGAGCGTTTTTGGAATCCTTATAAAGCTTAAAGCCTGGCCTGGGGGTACTCTCGATAATGGACTACACGGGAGGCTCCACCCGAATGGGGTACCTCTTTCAGGCAGGAGGTATAGGGTAGGGTAGGGATTTCACGAGTTGAAGTACGTATAGAAAAGGGTAGGGAAAACTATCATAGTCATCATGTTATTTAAAGGGACTTTTAAAATATCTCGAACAGGCGCACAGGTATTCTAATCATCCAAGTACATGTATGTTAAAGGGTTACTCATTTCAAGGGTATAGAAAAGGGAGCAGTGTTTCCATGGTAGGTATGCGAAAGGGGTGCCATTCTCTATGGAAGGTATAATGAAAGGGTTACCTTTTCTGTCAAAAATGGAGTCTCCCAGTATAAAACTTTGTTGAGTACCCCCGTCCTGGGCTTAAAGCTACTTGATGATTTTAATGAAATTATATATTACTTGTTTCAACGTCCCAAATTAAAGTCATAAATCAATCAATCAATCAATCAATAAATAAATAAATACATACATACTTGTAATTCTGATAACAGCTCCTGATTTTGAAAGCTCCCCAAACAAAACTCGCAAGATTTTCATCCTAAATAAATAAATATAGGATGAAAATCTTGTGAGTTTTGTATAAATTATGTGAAGTTTGTATAATATTGCAATAAAGAATAAAAAGTGTTAAAGTTAAAAAAAAATTCCTATGACTTTTGTATAAATTATATAAAAAATGTGAACATTATATTTATAACATTTCAGCATAACAGCACAGTATAACAAGTACACTGTATGGCACAAAAAGTACAGGCAGTGAGGACAAGCTAAGGGTAGTCTGCATAGCAGTCATTTCTTTTCTGAGAGCACGAGAACTGTGTGAAAGCTGGGCTCTTCATTTTTTGCTCTGTCTCGCACCTTTCAAGCTTTCAGTGTGCGTCTCACGCTCTTGGTAATGAAATGAATGTGATGCAGGATTAGGGCTGTTGTTTTTGTTGAACATTATAATTATGTGCTTTATAGAAAAAATACAGTAAGTACAGGTTTTCGTATGATAGCGAAATTATCAAGGCCTTGGTACATGTACATGTATGTCACAAACCTGTGCAAGTTAATTAATATGTAATTAATACCTGAATAAAGGTGAGCAGCGCATCAAGAAATAAACTCTCTGTATAACACAGTTCTGCATGCTTCTCCTCTGAAATAATTATTGTCAATTAAAAATAATAATTATTATTTATTACTAATTTAGTATAAATTATTAACTCTTCATAATTTTGAAGAGAGGAAGTTTGAAATGAAGAATGAAATCAAATTTCTATTAATAATAATAATATTAATTTCTTAATATTATTAATTATTCAATTCATGATGTCATTTTTGGGAGGAAAACTTGTCTGACCAAATCTGTCCTCTGAGAGGGAGTCACAGTGCCCTAATGGTTAGCTGGACTCTGGATCAAGTAATCCGGGTTCGAGTGCTGGCCACGGTCATGGTGTTGTGTTCTTGAACAAGACACTTTACCTTATTATAGGAAATTAACGCTCCATGAAATTAACGCGAATTTTACAAATTCGCGTTAATTTAAGTCGCGTTAATTTTTGTGAGCGTTAATTTCCGCGACATTAATTAAGTGGAGCGTTAACTTCTGCGACATTAATTTCCATTATTATAACCCCAAATTCTGGATCCTGTAGAGAGATATTTGACACCCAGGAAACAATAACTTTTTCAGTTCTGCACACTGTATTTCAACCATTTACAATGTAAAAGCCTTAAAGCCTTAATTACAATCTTTCCAGTTCACCCACGCTTTCAGAAGAGCAGTTCTGGACATCTGAGTTGTTGTATTTCGGCCAAGATATATTTGCTACTTTGTGCTAATCGCGTTAATTTCCTTCATTTTGAAATTTTACCTCCTCTTTCGCGTTAATTTCCTTTATTCGGAAGTACTTTTCCCTCCAATTCGCGTTAATTTAAGTCGCATTAATTTCAAATACCTTAATTTATAACACAAGCGTTAATTTCCTATAATAAGGTACTCTCATAGTGCCCCTCTCTCTACTCAGGAGTAAATGGACACCAGCGAATTGTCACTGGGTAACCTGACAAAAATGCTGGGATAAGATAAAGACTAGCTGGAGTATTACTACTCCCTGGATAGGATTGCTATACCATTGCAGGTTACCCTCCAATATCTTGTCAGATCGCCCTAACAGTTCGTCAGTTACCAATAATATTCATACACAAGTGTCATTAAGAACGCAACACAATGACCCTGGCCAGTGCTTGAACCTGACCGATCAATTGATGCGGATTGGGCCACCATGCATATACGTACCTCCACATAAAAATATGTACAAAATATTATTTAAGAACTATTAACCTTCAGTAAACTCATCATAAGAAGGATTCCAAATCCAACTTGAAAATGTTTCCGACCAAGTCGGC